AAAAAAAAAATAAAAATAAAATGTTCGGTACAAAAAAAAAAAACACAAAAAAACAGTCTGAAAGTGTTCCGAAATAATGATGCCTTAAGACCTTTTAAACCCACCCAAGGAAAAAAAAAAGGAGGTTATTGGAAAAATGTTGGATGGGGGCCCGGGGTGTTTGGGGGGGGGGGGAAGGGGATAGACCTGGCAGTAGTGTCACGCCCACGTGGCGTCTAGTATTTTAATGGGTAGATGCCCGTAGGAGTTATCTTTGTACTGGAGGAAACTCAGTTTATTGTAACGGTGATTGGAGATTTGGAACAGATATTAAATTCCCATGTATAAAGTATACAGTATACTCACCTCACTTGTCCTGAGCGTTGTAACTGCTCCTAGAACACTTCATCCTACTCCATTCAAATCTTGTGTCTTCTTCTTGGCTTCTTGCCACTTCTTATGCCTTCAACTTTCTTCGTGCAGTCAGCTATAGCACTTTTCTAGTGCTATTCTAATCAGCAGTCACTGTCAGTGTGACCATATAGACAGGAATTGGTCATTGACTTTTGTAAGATTTTTGGTTTGTTTTCTTTAATCTTTTCAAATGTGAAGTATTTTTTATTGTGAATCTGAAGTAATTTTTTTACTTTCAATATTTTTCTGCTTTTCTTTTCCACTGATATCTTTTTTAAGCATCACTTTCATTTTTTTTTCATCCTCAGGCCTTCACAAAAATACAAAGAAGTATTCACTACAACTTAACTTATAGTACTATAAAATTAATACAACAGACAGTAAAACCTAAACTAGATCAAAGACAAGTATTATTCAATAAAACATTGAGATGGGTATCACCTCTAAGCCTTTGACTTTGGAGAGCGATGACAGTGCGTTTTAGAAGAAATGGACACAAGAAATCTTGCTCTTTCAAAGACGATTGGAATCCACTGAAGTTAACGCGTGCTGTTACAATGTTGCAGAAAGCTAAGCTCACTTTAGTTACAAGTCTGAAACAGTTAAATCATGACAATTATTTTACAATACTTCGACGCAGTTTTGCCCAATAAACTTAAACAATAGTTGTAACTATCTTTTCCACGATCGTTCATCTTCTTCTTCACCCTCTTCATCAAAATCTTCTCCAAGAAGCAAAGCTTCGTCTGCATCCGCATCAAATTCATGTTTCCCCTTAAAAAAAGACAATGAATTGTTCTGAAATAAGCCGTTGTCTAACAGCAAAGGAAAAGAGTTCTGAAAGGCTCCCTGCATGCGCATTGATATGGTCTTTACAAATAAATAAATTTGACTCATGTCATAACGTTATGACCCAGGTCAAATTTAGAAGGATTTAATATCTCAGAGACAATTTGCCCCACAATGCCAGTTTTTGGCAAGTAGGCCTCTTGGATGTTGTTCTTTCAGGCTATCCTGACAAATCCTATAATTTCAAATTTTAATTTTTATATTGTTATCACTTTAGAACTCTGTTTAGGACACCACATACACATACACAAAACGTTTATATTTCATAGAGTTCTTACCAGTTCAGCATCAATATCCAGTCCTAACTCTTCCTCTACTTTCTTGAGCACTGTAGGAGTCGTAGGTGTAGTTGGTACTGCTGTTGCTGGTGATGTAGGCGTCAATGGAGGTCGATACCAAGACACCTTCAAGGCTCTTCCTTTGAATGTCTTACCTTTATTGAAGGCCTAAAAATAATAAAGTTCATGTATGAAGCTCTGATTGAAAATCCAGTGACAGTATAAAACAATATCTATTAATAACTGCAAATCTTCAAAACTAAATTTTGGGATGTCGTAGGGTATAGTCAATAACAAAAGGCCCGCTTTCAAATCCTTTCATGGATTTCTCAATTCAACAAGACCACAAGAAATCTCTCTTTCGTAATCTGTCCAGTAAAAAGGGGAGATAAAAAATGGCCTTGTGTGTGACTGAATGCTAAGACAAAGGAGTAGCTGCTAACCACTCACACATTATCAATCAACTTAGTATCAAGGCTGTGCTTTAAGGAAAATTGAAGGGAACCCAGTGCTCTGAACCTGTAGAATACAGGGTACCCCGCATATGATTTGTATGAAAAAACCAAGATTTTCTTGTGGCCCAGGTGTAAAAGTTGGTCACCAGAGGCCACCGGATTCAGCTAGGGCACAGCCCAGAGTTCAGTGGAGAAAAATAATGGAGACTACTCACAGTTCACAATTCAACAAAAAAATCAAAACATAAATTTCTCAATGCAATGTACCCCACTGCAATGCTATCACCCAGAAAGGAGGGAGGTATTGGCTGGGAAATAAGACAGATAGATGCTAGAAATAAACATTGAGCAAGGGGATAATACCCATTATTCTTACAATTTCGGCTTCTTTTCTTGTCCTAAAAGTCAAATTGAGAGTTTCCTTATCATCAATATATTCTTCATTGTGAAAAGTTTGAACCCAGGAGTCATTTCAAAAATAGGTTGAGTTTGATCGTCCGGGTGAACGTAGTCCTGAATAGGACTGTTGTTGTTGACAGTGACTGACGTTTCGACTGAGAATGACTGGAGAACTGACAATTTGACTAACAATAGACGATTGTTTAACTGTGACAATAGACGGATCGAAACGCATCAATTACTGATTACGAGTCTTCATAGCCAATAACATCACGGCTTAACTGACAGACGACCAATAACACAGATGAATAACCAGAGTATATTACCATCAATTGACGTGATACAACTCACTTTGACTCTGAAGATGACTACCGCACAGGTTGTCGAAACGTCAGTCACTGTCAACAACAACAGTCCTATTCAGGACTACGTTCACCCAGACGATCGAACTCAACCTACTATTGATAAGAATATTAAATAGTAGTAATAACTGAATATGTAATATTCAATATCTTTTCTCTAAATCAAAATCTAGCGTCCTAAAGGTCCTCTGTCGATGTCAAAGTCCATCTTTTTTAGTTTGAGATTTACTCTCCTCATTGAAGACACACCTATCAGCGTGACGTCCCCTTTGCCTTTATCAAGTGGAATCAACCGACTAGCCACAATTAGCTCAATAGTGAGGGGATCAACGAACTCTGTACACAGTCGTCTTGCTAGAGTAGCCGAGGAGTCACAAAGGTTCATGCTGGACTTCTTAAAAGACTTGCAGGCCAGCAGTATTCTCTTGAATCCGTTCGCATCCACGCCCGAGGGCCCACAAGAACCTTTAGTTCTTAATGCTGCTTCTCGCACCATCTCTCCGTTTATGTGCTGATATAGGATGGCCGGAACATCCTCCACTGGCCCGAATAACACAGGGCCCAATTTAGCTTGTTGTGCCTCTGGATGTTTATCCGCGAGTTGTTCCATGATTTGCTCCGATAATGGTAATAAGCCCCCACAATCCTCTTCGTTCATATAGCGTAAAGCTGAGTGTGTTGGACCTTCCATCACAGGTTTAGCGAAGATCTTCGCTTTATTCGGTGGATTAGCTTTCCGAGATATATCAAGGTGCCTTTGTTATTATTATTATTATTATTATTATTATTATTATTATTGTTATTATTATTAACAGCTATAGATACTTTATTATTGGGATGTACATAGAAATTTTCATTTCTTAGTTTATAGACAGTTGTTTACATTTGCTCTGTTGAAAACCACCGGACCACCAAGAAGTCTTTTTTAACTAGAGTTATACTAAATTTGTATTTAATTTTCAATTTGAAAAGAGTTTAAGAAAAGTATGTTTTTTTATGTTCAAAAAAATATTATTATTATTATTATTATTATTATCATCATTATTATTATTATTATTATTATTATTATTATTATTATTATTATTATTATTATTAAGAATCACTAAATGATTCCTTAAAAGATCTCTGGAATTCGTCAAGCTGTCACACTAATATTCAATATGATGTGTACAAATCCACTAAGGAAGTTCTTAAAGATTTGCTTTCTAATCGAGAGGATAAACTGCAACCGGCCACCTAACATCTCAAGGTTTCTTCTTCTCAAATGTTATCAAGTATTCATTGTCATCTGTAAATTCTATTTGGTCAGAAGCCCAGTGTCATCTACCCAAGAACATTTACAATTTTACCATTCTTTACATCAACAACTTCCTCCCTACACGTAAGAATATGGCAAGATGGGGATTATCACAAAGTCCTGGGCGATTGCTCCTTTTGCCTTAATCCTGAATCACTCCTCCATGTTGTCGCTGGTTGTCAACAGTACCTTGATCGCTTTACCTGGAGACACGACTAAATCCTTAACTTCATTGCCAAGTCACTTCAACCTGTAATTAATGTTCACTCCTCACTCTATGCAGATGTTAATGGTTTTCTGAATCCCTCAATAATAACTGGTGAAAATTATCGTCCAGAGCTTCTTTTCCCAATCCAGTCCAAGTGCCTATATGTTCTAGATTTCGAGTCTAACCTTAACAACAATGCAGTGCGTAAAAAAGAAAATATCTGAACTTGATCAACGAAATGAGTAGAAATTACAGATGTGTGAAATTTGTAAATCTCTCCATGAGCTCCCTTGGCGTTTTCTCCGATGAATGCTCCACGTTCTTAGACATGATGAATGACATTAGCATTGACAAAAAGCAGCAACTTTATATAATCAAGAAAATGACAAATATAGCCATTAGAGCAACAATTACGTCTTTTGTTGTAGAAATAGGAATTGGATAGCCCAGACTTAATGCAATTTTGATTTCTTTTCTTTTCCTTTCCTTTCTTTCTTCTTCTTCTTCTTTTGTTTTGTTTTGTTTTGTTTTGTTTTGTTTTTTTGAATAATCCAATCTCAAGCAGCATTTGTAAATTGCCTATACGTAGCGAGATTTACAATTGTGCATTCAAAAACACTAAAAAAGTTTCTATTATTATGTCCATTCCTTGTAGGATGTTCGGCCTGGTTAATAGTCCTTGGGAGCGGGTTACAACTGGGTAACAACTCTCTGGGGGAGAGCGGGTTAAAAACTACAAATTTTCATGCTTGGAACCATTCCGAGCTGATTTCTTAGACACTTTGAAGGGTCAATAGGGAGCTTTAGCATTGACGACGGCGACGGCAGCGAAAACGTCACTTTTAAAATGAATTCGCGCTTTTTCAAACTTTGTCGCGCTTATTCCAATTCCCTGAAAATGTCAAATGTAAGAGAATTTCCCCGGAGCTAATTTCTTGGAGACCACACTGAAGGTTTGAAAGAGAAAGAACAATTCGTTGTCGCTTGTTTACGTCCTCCATAAAACGTGACATAAGGGCCTCTTCACATGAGCCTGGTTGACCGGGCTGGCTCGGTTACCGGGATGAATTTTGTCTTAGGTTCATATGAGAAATTTCAGCCCGGTTTCCGAGATGAGAAAAGGTCAACGAGTTCTGGCGCCAAATTCGGGAAACAAAGCAAACATAGCGAAACACAAAAATTTTAACTTTCGGGCCTATTTGAGCATCGATGACTCTTAAAGCTGTATCACTGCAGTTAAATGGGATGCTTACGATGTGGAAAATACAGCAGGCAATGCAAGACGATGCCATCCGGATCGCCAGAATTCATCCCGCCCGCTTCATCCCGGTAACCTGGATGAAGTGTTCATATGGCAAAATTTCCAGCACGCTTACCGAGATTTCGGTTGGAAAAACCGGGATCTCGGGAACCGAGCCAGCCTGCCCTCTCATATGAACACATCGAAAATTTTACAAAGGATTTAGAGGTGAGGCGAGATCTCGGAAACCGGGCTCACATGAAGAGGCCCTTAGGCATTTTCACGTCGTAGTCGTGCCGGGACCGCAAAGAAATGTACAAAAAAGCGTGATGCACGTGCAAAGTTGTTGTTTTGCCAATCAAACCTATTGCTTTTGTGACGTTCTCGCTGCCGTCGCCGTCGTCGTTGCTAAAGCTCCCTAATGTTTTGATACAGAGGGACGGGAGCTAAACCTTTACCCGGAGTAGTCAATGGATAAAAATCGGTAACGATTTATCAGTCGATAAAGCGAGAAAATGGGCAAATCTGATTTGATTAATATTGATTGTATCGATCAATCGGTAGAAATCGATGACAGTCTCGTTTCGTTCATTAATTTTTACCGATTTCATCGATTTATACCGGAAAATACATGAGTTCATCTGTTCATCAAAAAATGAAAACTGAATTCACGCAAACAGTAAATTTGTTGACAATTGAGTTGCAAATGAAAGTCGAATGATCAAAATTACCCTCACTTTTTTTTAATTTTTCAAAAAAAATCTGCTCTTTTCTTTAAAACCAGGCTTAAAATCTTCTTCCGATTGCTGATATTGGCCAGGTTTGTAGGAGCCCAGTTTTTCACGATTTAGACCTGCCACCCTTTCATAATAAGTTCGGTGTAGTTCCAGGTGTAGTTACATCCCGAAATTAGTCAATAGATAAAATTCGTTAGTAATCAAGTGATTTTTATCGATTGATTATGGTTAAAGTAAAAATCTATCAAGGGTAATCTTTTAGCCTGAATTTAGTTCAGACACGCCTTCGACTCGAGGGGTTGTCTGAAATTAAGGGTAGGAGATCTTTATCTAAGGTTGTATTTCTCATGATACTTGCTTGCGAGAACTGTATGAAATTAAACCAAACCGTTTTTGTTATTATGTACAAAATAAGAGCAAAAATAAGAGCGTTTTAGAGAGAAACTTGTGTGTGTAATGGT